AGGTGTCCAGGGCCAGCAGGACCCCTCTCTTATGGTCGACTGTGCCCGTGGACACAGACAGGCTGTTTTTGAATGCCCAACATTCATTCATTTGCTTGTCTTTTCTCCCAGCTCTCTCTCCTCCTCATTCCCATGCTGTCTGTGTTACTATTTCCCTCAAACCACTTACCACAATGCCAGTAGATGGGCTGAGGTCCAGCTCAATAACAAAACGATACTGCCAAGCCAGGAAGGTGACCCGGGTGGAAGGGACAAGAAGGAATGGCCTTGGGACCACTGGTTCATCTGGCTGCCAACCAGGGGGCAAAACACTGAGGACTTCCAACTCCTGCTCAGACTGAAGCTGACAAGATGGAAGGGAAAGAGAGGGTCGTGGGCAGGAGAGATGACAATGGCTCAGTGCTTAAGAAAGCTTTTGCTCTCAAAGAGAGCACCTGAAACCACCTGAAACTCCAGCTCCAGGGCACCCGATGCCCTCTGCTGCTCTCTGTGGGCATCTACACACAAGTGACATACACTCACACACAGACACACATGCGATACATGTGATACATACTCACAGACACATGTGACACACACTCACACAGACACACATGTGACACACACTCACACAGACACACCTGTGACATACACACACACCTGTGACATACTCACACACAGATATACCTGTGACATACATTCACACACAGACACACATGTGACATACACTCACACACAGACACACATGTGACACACACTCACACAGACACACATGTGACAGACACACACATGATACACACACAGACACGCACATGACATACACGCACATGGACACATTAGAAAAAATTTAAAAGAAGAAAGTTGAGAAGAGTTTTCTTTCTTCTCTGAACCCTAGTTTAGCTAGGTCATAGCTGTGAGGCTACAGAAAAAGCACTCAGCCTCTTTAGCATCAGTGCCCTCACCTGTAAAACGAACACAATCCTAGCACCAACCTCAAGTGCTGCCGTGCAGTCCAAGGGAACCCTGAATATGAGTGCTCCCTAGACCTGCCTCCTATATCCAAAGTGACCCTCCACTGGCCCCACCTTCAGTAAACAGCCACACATCCTTTGCCTCACTAGCTAGGAAAAGAATGAACAAATTCCCCATAAGGGCCCACTGCCCCTCCCAGCCTTAGAGCTCTTAGGAAAAAAAGAAGAGAGATCCATCTGGGCCATGCCCTCACCTCCCACCTGTTACCAGGACATACCAGGAACTCTTGGGGTGTGGCCTGAACAGTTTGATGCAGATGATTAAGGAACCAAGCCAGGCGAACATTTCGGGAGATTCGATAATCTTTTTTCATTAACAGAAACACCTGCCCAGCTTCTTCTACCTAATGAGAGAGATAAAAGGGGGGGAAAAAAGAGGACACTAAATTCCCAGTACATACACATCCCATGCAAGTAGCTTACCCAAGGAGCCCACACAGTGACAGGAAAGGTAGCAGAGGTGACATCTATCCTAGTATTATGAAAAGTGCTCCCAACACAGACCCCCACACAGATGAAGGGAACTTACCTTCTTAGTGTGTCCACAAGAGTTTATCTTATGAACCATAAGCTCCCAAAGGTAGCAGAGGTGCTTTGTTCTGCTTTTGTGGCCCTGTGCTTGGCAAACTGATTTACAAGAGACCCAGCAAGTATCCAATCTGGTACAGGAACACTTGCCAGTACCCTGACCCACAGAAGACATTAAAGAAACCTTCATTGAGTTCGTTTAAGGGTCCTGAGTGAATGAAGCCTCCTAGGTGTTATATCAAGCTGCTGTGGGTCACATGCTCCACTCACGCGCCTATCAACTGTCAATGCTTTGGTTCTTTCCCGTGAGCCTTCAGAGGTGGTCAGTTATAGCATCCTCATTTTTCTCCTATACAAACCCCTGCCAAAGATGCCTCGGGACACATTATTTTGTCCACACAAATACGATAGCAGCTGTACTCTAACAGGAAGAAACCTGCCATTTTGTCAAAGCGGGAAATCTGATTAAGCTTGACTTCTTGGTTAGCAGCTTTTCTGTTTTCCCCCAGGTTTTACACCATCCCCACTCCAAGCCTTTATTCCCAATAGACCAACTTACCTATCATTCACAAAAACCCAATAATCACCCTAGTCATTATGCCGTTACAAACCAAATAAGCATGCTAATGGGTAAGAATGTGGTTTTATGACAGCAGGAACAACAGCTACTGCCTGGTCCTGTCTTGGATCTCAGGAGGATGGGATGATGAAGGCCCAGCAGAGCTGGCTACATGTGATGACCCAGATGAAGGGCAGAGACAAGCCACTGCATTACTGAAGGCCTACATTTGAGAACCCAGCTTCACAATGTACAGCTTCCATTTCTTTCCCTTTCTCTTGCTTTCAGTGCCGTTTTGAATGACTGATTTCTCCAAGGCCAAACTGAAGTCTGGCTCACCCGTCAGTTCTTATAGAGTCATCTTGAAAACAGAAATGTTTGCCTAGCTTTCTGGGAAAATTCCCCTTTATCTGTGATTCTCTGATTCAAACATTTCCTAAACCTCCTAAGTTGTCATACATTCCAGATGTTACTTTATCAGAACCAGAAGGCTAGCTTAATATAATGTAAGCATCTGGAATGTTTTTCAAAGTGGGATTCAAGCACCAGCTGCATCAGAATCACCGGAGTTGTTTGTTAAAATGTACATTTGATTCCTGGGTACCATCAGAGATCAAATGAATTAAGAGCTGACAGAGATCAAGAATCTACATCCTAACTAGCTCCCTGGGGGTTTTTCCATATTATTGCTTGAGAATTTTTAATTAGTTATGTTTCACAACATTCACATTCATATGAAGCTCCAAGGCCTTAATCCTAACTTCCCTTGAGTCTGATGTGCCTAACTTTTGAAGCAGTCTGATAAACAAGACAAAGCAGGCTTCTGGATTCAGAGACCCAGATTCTAATGTATTCCATTATAAGTTACCCTTGTGATCTTGCAGGTTACTGAAAATTTTTTCCAGGCTTCAATCTCTTTATTGTAATGGCAAGATAAGGGTATCTTTGTAGGGGTATTGCAGTTAAACAGGGGAGGCAGGTACAATGGCAGAAGAAGGCTATCATTGTTTAGAATATTCATTGAGGCCTACATACCATTTATGACAAGCTGAATAAAGTGCTGCCAGGCAATGCGCTTCCTTTTTTCTGGGTTTTGTACTAGGGTCTTTCAGATTAAGGGCCAAATTATTCTCCGAACCTTTTCTAAACCATGTGCTGTATTCCACAAAATAATGTAGATACCACCCCTCCTATCTGAAGCCCCTCACCATTATAACCTGAACCTGTAGCATGACCTCAAGTTGAACTGTCTCTCTCCCCAGTCTCAGCCCCCTCACCCACCACCACAGTAAAAGCAGGCATTCAAGGGTTAAGAGCACCTTGGACCAAGCACTGTGAGTTTCTTCATTTGTGAACAGAGATAACAAGAGTGACTACTTCATGAGGACTGTCTGCATTATATACTCAGAGAACTTAAACTTCCTGAATTCCCCACAAATGCTTATGGGAGAAGGAAGCTAAGTGCCTTACTAAACCTTAAACATCCTCATTCGCTCCTCTGCAGCTATTACAATCCAACGTCCACTTACTCCTCAAAGCTAAGGAGTGTATCAGCCTCACAGTAGCATGCAGAACAACTTTGGGTTCAGAGCAGCACTCAATTTTCTCTCTTGGGAGCCTAACATCTCCAAATGTCACCGTTTCTTCTTGGTATTGTTTCTACACTACTTGCTGAGTTTTCACGTATGTAGTTTCTTTATCACATTCACAGACATACACATTGTGTACTCATACACATGCGTACATATATGCATACTTTGTGTGTGTACGCACACAAGCACTTGTGTCATACTGCACATGTGCAGGTCAGAGGACAACTTGTTATGTCTAGGGCTAGTCACCCATGTGGGAGTTCTAGCCCTAATACTAGCTGTGCAACTGTGTTTCTTTTAACAGCTGCACCTCAGTTTCCTGGGGGGGGGTAATGGTGTTCACCTTACAGGGTTGAAAACACTGGTAACAGCCATGTGCTCAGAATGATGGCTGGCATGCCGTGAGAACTCAGCAAGTAGCCATGCCTATTTGTATCATTATATATGTCCATCACCCTTCCCTCCTAAGTATTCTTGTGTGGTCCTGGACATTCCAGTCAAATCTAAGGTCTTGTTTCCTTCTCAGGCCCTCGAATTCGGCTAGAATGAGTAGTCCTAAGGTATCTTAGCATAAGGCACCTCGCCCACTGGACTTTTCAGTTTACTGCTCTGCACACGACAATTAAATACTGCCAGATTCCCTACACGAATTCTTCTCAGCTAAGAGGTGCCTTATCTCACTTAACTTGTGATTCCCCAAGCCACACCGCAGAACAAACATTTTTATAAAGAAGGAGACAGGATCTGGGAAGTTAAGACTGCTATGGCGGTTGCAGGACTTTTCCAAAAAGCATGGACTCTAAAGCGAAATCAACTCATGCTATTGATTACATTCCAGTTGACGAGATGCAAAAACCCGCAAAGTCGGTCAGTTTCAGCGTGGCCCAATGAAAATCGCAACTAATAACCCAAACACGAAGTTTGGTCATTACAACTATCTCTAGATCTGTGGGTGAGAGATGAGAACCAGGATGACATCTGAGTAAACAAAACAGCTACGGCCTCCTCGAGGCTCCGGAGGGTGGAGGCCGCTACACGCCTGCCCTCGGGCCTCGGTCCCGCGCCCACCCGCCCCTCACCTCTGGCTCCGGGCGCTCCGAGGCCATCACACAGCCCTCCCGCGCCGGCCCGGGCCAGGGAGGATGCTCCACTCCTGACCTCTGACCCAGCTAGCACTGCACCGGGCAGGAACCGGAAGTCGTAGGGATGGCCGTGTTCTGAGTTTTCTGATTGGTGGGTACAGACGGCAGCGCGAGAAGCCGGAAGAGGAAGTGGTTGCGCCAACCGGGCCGTGGCAATGCAGGTGAGAAGCCGGTTGGGCCTCCCAGCCGCTAGCCACCGGCTGGACGGTGGGCGGGTCGAGGACTCTGGGAAGTTGGAGCTGTGAGGATAGGGCCGAGGCCTCGGCTGTTTGGGGAAAGGCGGCGAAGCGGGAAGGGACCAGGACAGCTGCGGGAGGCGCAGGGATTTAACCCGTTAACGCGAGAGGGTCAGAGGCGGGGGTTAGGGAGGAAAGGCCAGGCCGATTTGCTTGACTGTGTGAAAGGATCGAATTGGCATTTGGGAAGGCTCGAGAAAGAAGTGGGCTGGGACCAGTCCTCGACCTAGACTGTTGGACACAGGCGTAACAAGGCTTCAGAAGGCTAAAGGGATTGTGGGCTTCCAAGGACGAAAACTACTAAGCTTTTTGTAATCCGAGGCTGTGGGTGGAACTTAGTATCCAACCTCATCATTCACATTCTCGGGTTTGCAAATCAGCTTTGCAAATCATTCTTCCCGGCTTGTAACCAATTGCTTAGGGCGCAGAAGTGGAGTAAATAGACCACAGATGATCAAACGGAAACCCTCTGCAAGTCAGCATTTAAAATTGTCTAATGTCCAGAAACAATGTGTTGGTTTCCTCGCCTTTGTCTTTCATTCCTCAGCGTGTTGCACCTGGCAGTCCTACAGTGAGTGTTTATGGGTCACCCGAGTTTACGAAAGAGACACTGGAAAACTGGCACACAGATACATGAGTACACATTGACTCAGCAAATGTTAAGGATAAAGGACCAGTTGGGGAGGGGAACTACAGAGCTGGTATTCAGAGACAGCCTCAGATTCAGGCAAAATGTGACACTCTCCAGAGTGTGTTGAGAGTAGCTGCACTTACACGGCAGAGAATAATGGTGTGCATGTACTACAGAGGCTCCCATGAGATAGAGAACATCAATCAAGTATGCCTTCTGGCCTTATATGCTGACAACAGCGCCCCTGTTAGCGTGGCAAACCTTTCTAACATGTACTGAACTTTCTGAAAGAAATGTGGCAATACTAACTCCACAGAGTGACACAATACACGAATACTCTATATGCCCAAGGGAAGCAGAGTTAGGACATCAAGCAGCAGTGTGGTAGGGAGACTGTCTATTTTCCAGAAAAGGCTAGACTTAACAAAGAAGATTGTGCTTTGGCTTGAGCATCTGAAGATCTAAGAGAATGTTGACTTTTAAGAGAGGCAAGGCTGGGCGGTGGTGGCACACGCCTTTAATCCCAGCACTCGGGAGGCAGAGGCAGGCGGATCTCTGTGAGTTTGAGGCCGGGCTGGACCGACAGCCTCCAAAACAATACAGAGAAACCCTGCCTCGTAAAAAAAAAAGAGAGAGGCAAGCCTTTTGAGCTGGAGAGGGAAGAGAATGGAGGTGAAAAGATAAAGGGCTAAGTGATACAGTTCTAAGCCAGTTTTGTTATGAAGACAAAATCGTGAGGTCATAAGCAGAAGGGAATTAGGTCTGGTGCAATGTTCTTATTGAAGGATCATAGTGTAGGAGGATGATAAAAAGAATCAGTTGGTAGGAGGACTTCAGGCCAGGTGAACAGGTTGAAAGATCTAAGGGTTGATGCTGTCTGTAACCCAAATACCAAGATAGAAAACAATTTAGCTTTTCTGTATATGTCACCTCACTCGTATCTGAGTAACCACACACACTGTTGATGCAGAGGGAGGAGAAGCAGCTTGAGGCATCGTTAGACGCACTGCTGAATCAAGTGGCTGATCTGAAGAACTCACTGGGGAGTTTCATTTACAAGTTGGAAAACGAGTATGACCGGCTGACCTGGTAAGGATTGCTAGGGCAAGCCAGGGAGGGAATCCATGGGTGGTGGGGCCAAGCCCCCTGGCTGACAGGACATCTCCAGTGATGTAACTATTTATCAGTTTGCAAATATCCTTCTTGATTTGGCAAGAACTAGGTTGCACAACATTGACAAGTATAGTTTGGCGTGAAGCCTCCATGGCACGGAAGTAGAGAACTGCCCAGTTTCCCAATGTAGGCTGTTTCGAGGTTTTAATCCTTATGCTTTGACTTTGTGAGGAGGTGTTCCCCAAGTGGAGGACCATTAAAGCTACATTCGTGCTGGATCTCCTTCCACAAATGTGGCTGAGTCTGAGATCCACCCTACTCTGGAATGATGGATTCTGTTAACTAGCTAGAAAGGACGCTTTTATCCCACTTAAACAATTTTTAGTTACCACAGTGTAACCGCAGTTTCTGTTTTCCACTACTTCCAATCCTAGTCAAACAATGAGTTGCGCCTGGCAGTGGTGGCGCACACCTTTAATCCCAGCACTCCGGAGGCAGAGGCAGGTGGATCTCTGTGATTTTGAGGCCATTCTGGTCTATAGAGTGAGTTCCAGGACATCCAGGGCTACACAGAGAAACACTGTCTCCATAAAAAGATAGAGTTGCTTTTTTTCTGTCTGTGTCAGAAATTGAAAGTGTGTTCCTCTTTCCCAACTCCATGATCTCTGCTAGCAAATCTGGTTCTTGCCTAGGCTAGTCATAGTGCTGTGAGTCTTCTGGGGGTGAGTCTGGGTGTTCCAGCATTAGAACTTCAGAGATTACTTTATAGGGAAAAGTAGTTCTGATGACTTCCTACCACCCCCAGGCCCTCTGTTCTGGACAGTTTTGCATTGCTCTCTGGACAGTTGAACACTCTGAACAAGGTCTTAAAGCATGAGAAGACACCACTGTTCCGTAACCAGGTCATCATCCCTTTGGTGCTGTCCCCAGACCGAGATGAAGACCTCATGGTAAGTAGGAAGGATTGAACCGGGGAAATCAGGTCCTTAAACGAAAGTCTGGTATACAGTTGTTGATTGAACCCTGTGTATAGCAATAAATGTAAGGGCTGCCATTTGGAAGACTTGCTTTTTTGTCCTTCTGGTGACAGGAATCACTCTTTCTTTTTTTTTTTTTTTTTTTTTTTTTTGAGGCTATCGGTCTAGCCCGGCCTCGAACTCACAGAGATCCACCTGCCTCTGCCTCCCGAGTGCTGGGATTAAAGGTGTGTGCCACCACCGCCCGGCAGGACTCACTCTTAAATAATGTTGTGAAAACGAAGGCCATGTCAACTAAGTCCATGACCTTTCTTTTCCAAAAAAAAGTCAGTTCTGCCTGCCTGTGACTTTGTTCAACCAGTCTTTAAAATGTGGGGTTGGGAATTTAGCTCAGTGGTGGAACAAAGCCCTGGTTTGGTCCCCAGAATGGGGATGGGGAATCACAAAAGACCAGAACAAAACAGAAACAACAATAAGAAAGTTGCAGTGTGGTTGTGGAGAGTGAAATTTATTTTGCCCTATTCTGATAGAGTGTATCTGAAAAGACAATGCCACAGAAGGATACATTTGTGTCTCAGGTTGTATTGTCTCTGAAAATGCACTTTCCTGTGGAAGGGAAACGGTTAGAATCAGCTTACTTGGATAGCACAATAGGATCAATACAATCTGTGTTACAGCGGCAGACTGAAGGACGAGTGCCTGTTTTCAGCCATGAGGTCGTCCCTGACCATTTGAGAACCAAGCCTGACCCTGAAGTTGAAGAGCAGGAGAAACAGCTGACAACGGATGCTGCCAGAATCGGTGCTGATGTAGCTCAGGTTGGACTGAGTCACTGCCCTGCTGCCCCATCCCCATCTCTTCATAAGAAGCAAGACTTTACCAAGCCTGTGTAGTAGGAGTATGTGGTTGGTTACAGCTAGGCTGCCTCTGGAAGGGCACAAGGAAGATGCTTCCCCAGAGTCATTACTAATCACTACATCAATCCCTGTGTGTTACAGAAGCAGATTCAGAGCTTGAATAAAATGTGCTCAAATCTTTTGGAGAAAATTAGCAAAGAGGAACGAGAATCAGAGAGTGGAGGTAAGGAGGGATGGTTGGCAAAACAGAGTGAGCACTGTATAAGATCACTAGAATAGCAATGATTGTCTAATAAGTGAAGTAAGAATGAAGTGCTGGGACTGGCAAGGTGGCTCAGTGGGCAAACACACCTCCTGCCAGGCCTGACCTAAGTTTAATCCCTGGGGTCTATATGGTGGAGGGAAGTACCAACAAGTTGTCCTCTGACCATCACACACAAAATAAGTAAATACGATTTTAAAAAAGAAGAATGAACTGGCAAGGAAAGGGTCTGTATCCTGTTAGTGTTTTGTGTTTAAGACTAGCCTTAAAGCAAATGGAAGAATTAGACAAAGTGAAAATTAAAGATAGGTATGGAGACTTTGAGCTCTTTGATGGGGCTGGAGGGATTCTAGGTGTTTCTGCAGTCACAACTGTAAATCCTGGTGGTCATCACTGACCTCCCAGCTGCTGGGTTTGGTCCAGAGTGGAATACACACTTCAGGGTTCTTGCTTTTTTTTTTTCAGGCCTCCGACCAAACAAGCAGACTTTCAACCCTGCAGACACCAATGCCTTAGTGGCAGCTGTTGCCTTTGGGAAGGGGCTGTCTAATTGGAGACCTTCAGGTAGCAGTGGTCCTGGCCAACCTGGCCAGCCAGGAGCTGGTACAATCCTTGCAGGAGCCTCAGGATTACAGCAAGTTCAGATGGCAGGTGCTCCAAACCAGCAACAGACAATGCTTAGTGGAGTCCAGATGGCTCAAGCAGGTCAACCAGGTAGGGTGACATGGGCTGACTGCACGAGTGTGGGAATGAGCTAGATTAAGCCTCCTTCAACTCCAGCCTTGGAGACTTTCCTCCTTGCATTGTCACTCAGAAGACATTTAGAAGCTCTTCAACAGGTACTAGAGAGTGAAGAAGAACCTTGAATAGCAGAAACTGGTGTGGCCTTTACTTCCATCTCAGACTTTTGTCTCAACTGTCCTATTTATTCTGGATGTTAGTGTGTGTCTCTTAGGTAGAGAAATAAGTGGCCAGACCTTGATCAAGACCATTCCGTAGGTAATCACGGATCAGTACCTGGCAGTTTTCTGGGATTCTTTCCTTGCACCCTGTCTCTTGGTCTTGACTTCCTACCATCACTTATGCTCATTTTTACTTACTGTGAGAGCAGTCTGGAGGACTGCAAGGAGCAGCTGCAAAGGTGTCTCTGCAGGCTGTCTAGGGAAAAGGACAACAGAGAACACAGTACTCTTTACCTGTGACATTGAACAGGGGCCGCATAGACCACATGTCTGTCTTTTCCAGAAGTAGATGAGTAGAAGCCCATGGGGGAGGGGGGCTTTTCAGACCCCTTCTCTCTTCTTTCACATCACCCCTTCCCTCCTAGATACCTTCAGTGAGGGAGCTGGCTGAAGAGCCACAGCCTGCAATCTGCCATCCAATCAGAAGCTGCAGAGGTTCTGAGATATAGGAGTTGACAGGAATCTGAGAAGCTGCATTTACGATTTGTTGTGAAAGTTTACCTTGCTTCAGATGCCTTTCTTTGTGTTACTTTTAGGGAAAATGCCGAGTGGAATAAAAACCAACATCAAGTCAGCTTCAATGCATCCCTACCAGCGGTGAGTGTGGACAGCAGCCTCCACTCTCAGGTGATCTGTGCTGAATTGGGCAATGAAATTACTTTTGCTCAAGGCTTACCTAGATGGGTACAATAAAAAGAACACAGGCTTTCAGCAACAGACAAATCTCAGCTCCACTGTGAATAGCTGTGCGACCTTGGGAAAGTGACCTAATTTTTCTGAACCCGTGTTCTCATTTGTAAATGGTGATAATACCTACCTCATAGGGTTGTTGTGAGGATTAAAATGAGAAAATGATTGTAAAACACTTAGCATGGTATATGAAATACTGGGTCTTGAATAAATGATAGTTTCTTACTTTTCCATCCTGCTATTCACTGTCCTGCAAACAGAATTTACTGTGATTTATACAGCTCCATGACATTGGCAAGCTAATGGATACAGGATCAAGTCATCTGGGAATCAGGGCAGCCTGTATATTTTGGAGGTGTATTGTTTCTGTAGCCTCTGCTGTCTAGGTTCCATCCTGCTGGCTCCATCCAAGCTGCAGGCAAAGAGGTTTCTGGGCTGTGACACTGTCCACCTACAAGTCTGATGAAATCAGTTCAGCTTTTACCTGGGAAATAGGTAAAAGTACCCATCTTTTACCCTGCTCTGCTTATGAAGATGTCTAGGGACCAATAGGTGGGAGATTTCTTAGGAGGTGGCCCTGTCAGGCAACAGCACACATAAAATACCATCTGCCACCTTTGAGAGGAATTGGGCTTCACACTGTCATTCATCAGAGTTTGTTCGTCCTCACAGTAACAGCTTCTCCCTGTTTCTGTTCTCTTCTATTTTACTAAACGTGTGGCTCAGATAAGTTCCAGATTGAAAGTGGGAAGGGCAACAGCCCCATTCACCTTGCCTGCTTTTGTAGAGTTGAACTGAAGTTTTGAACAGGCAGCCATGTTGCCTTTCTCAGCGTTCTTTTGTGGGCAAGGGCAGGGATTGAGTCAGCAGAAGTGGACCAAAGGGTTTCTTTGTTCAATAAAGTTATTTAAATTGATTTTCACTGGCTCAGGGTTGTCTGACTGAAATTTATGAATGATCTACCAGGCAATTCTAATTTGTTCTCCTTAACGTATTCCCTTATCTTTAATTTTTCTTGTATTTAAAACACGAAGACTTCCTTCCAGCTGCACTGTTTGTGCTCTCTCCTGTCACACACTAGTGCTCTTGTCTTTGGTCTTTGTTAACAGATTCTACCAGGCTGTGGCAGCAAAGGCCTGGAAAAGTGGTCATCTGTTGCTGGTCTATGGAGACATGAGTGGTGTTGTCAAAGCTAATTGACCACAACACCCTGCACCAGGGAAGTCCTGTTAACTGCTCTGAGGCAATGCGAAACCTTTTTCCCACTTAAATTGGCTGGCCCATTAGCCCATCCAGGTGTTGTTTATCTTCTCATCTTTTCCCTTCCCACTAAACATCAAAGTAACTGGAGTATTGAATAGAATTTAACTGGACATTTCCAGACTCCTCAGAGTATCTTGGTGCCTGCTAGCCTTTACTCCACCTGTAACCAACCCTGGGAGTCTTCATTGACCCAGCTGAACTGACTTCATTCCCAACATGCTATTGAAATGGCTTTCTTGTCCTCCAAGAACAGCAATATCTTCCTGCTGCAGGAGGAACATTCAGGTCTCACCTACACCTCATGCCCTTAAGCAAACGCTTCGGTGGTGGAGGCATCCATACCTCTGTGGTTAGCTCAGGTAGCACAGGCTGTCATTTCCACCACCTCCTCCCTTCAGAGCTCCAGACATCTCAGCATATAGACATGCTGATCTCCCACTTTGGGGCTCATATACCAGTTTACCCCACAATGGAAAGAATGTCTGGAGTCCCTACTTCTTGGTCTCTCAGGAGGAAGTATGTGGAGTTACCCATGAAAAAGACAAAACTGTTTACTTGCTCAGACTTGGGTTTTGTAGATGATTTGCACTACTCTAGCATTCCTATTTCTGACCATTGTCTCTGCTTGGGGAATACTTTCTGCTGCATTTGGGGCCTTTGGACAAGGAGATGAGATGGACAGAGGTCTGCTCCATTGTCTCCCAGGTTTGTTATGGGATGGAGAAAGCAGCAGCAGGTGTGAAACGTTGTCTCCCCACAGCAGTTTGTCCCACTGAAGGTGGAAGCTTATAGAATCAATGTTAAGCCCTAGGAGGTTGCCTAAGACCTCTCTCTCTAGTTCTGCCCTGAGGCTGGGATTCAGCTATTGCTGATTGCCCTGGTCACCTGTTTTTTCTGTTCTTCCAGTGTGAACTGCAGTCCTACTTAACTGCCTCACCATACTCAACTGTGCTAAGATAGCCAGATGTTCCTTGTAACTCTGTAGAGTGCCAGCACTAGCTAGGTACAGGCTAGAGAGGATGTGGTTGTCCACCTCTGACCCTGCTGCTGAAAGGAAGAAGCTGAACTCAGCAGGAATGCCCCGATGTGAGGCCGAGCTCTTTTCCACCCCCTCTACACCTCCCCCAAGCAGCTGGAAACAACTTCTCCCTTTGTCTGAGTTTCTTGTACAGAATAATCCTCCTTATGGACAATGTATTCTCTGTGTCCTGTGGACACAGAAGCCGTGTACGCTGATCCCAGCACTAGGCAGGACGGAGGCTGAAGTCTTCCAAACACCCACCCTGCTCAGCTCCATTGATGTTCAGTGGAACTACTAAGGGTTGGACATTTTTTCCTATGTGCTCCAGATTGGAGTCGCAGCAGAGCCTTTTGTGCTTGTCACTGGCTAGTAGAATGACCAGGAGTTGTGCCCTAACGTGTTAAGCACCAACGTGTAGAGAAAGTTTTGATGTGATTTCTTTCCTAAAGTCTGGAATGCACAGAGGCTAGCACTTAGAAAATGACTGATGTGACTTGCCTGGCAGGCTCTGGTGCTCCATCGTGCCACATGGACATCAACATGTACTCTTCCAACAGGACACACTTCTTTAACAGTCTCTCTTGTTCCTGTCTCCCAGTGTCACTGAGGCAGAGCCTGGGTTCCTCTAATGTGGTCTCTTGTTATGACTCACATATCCTCAGATTGTGAGCCACTACTTGGACACTTACACTTACATGGCATAGACCAAGACTGCTGAGTTCCTTGGGCCTCCCTTACCTCACCTGAACGACCCCTGTGATCTTTCTAGTCTGGCAGTCTGATGTCGACTCATCAAGGCCACCCCTGTGGGCTTTGTCTTTTGTTTTATTTTCCTTACTGCATAGCTATGTTACTTGAATAGGGCCAATTTCCTAAATTCCTCAAACCTCCTAACGTTCTCTGTCATGAACCTTCTTCTGGAGCAGCGGTTTCCAACCTTCCTAATGATGTGACCCTCTAATACAGTCCCTCATGTTTCGGTGACCCAAACCATAAAAATCTTTTTGTTGCTACATCGTAACTCATTTTGCTAGTGTTAAGAATCATGTAAACATCTGTTTTCTAATGGTCTTAAGTGACCCCTGTGAAAGACTTGTTTGACCCCCTAAAGGGGTCTTGACCCACCACAGGTTGAGAACTGCTGCTCTAGACCATGTCCCTGGCACTGTTTTCTAGCTTTCATGCCTTTCTCGTGGAGATGAATCAAAGAGGTAGCGAGGTAGCCAAGCGTAGTAGCACATGTCTTTAATCCTAGGCAGGCGGATCTCTATGACTTTGAGTCTAGCCTGGTCTACATAGTAAGTTTTAGGATAGCCAGAGCTACATAGTGAGACCCTGTCTTGGAACAGACAAACAAACAAAAGAGGTGGTGAGGTGGCTGTGGATTTGAAGTTACCTCTCACTCTCAAAACATCTGTCTCCTTTGAAAAAGATAAATGTATGGAAATTATACTTTGTGTAACTCTGAAATCCCTGCCTATGCGGCCCATAGTTACTATAGCTTCTGGATGTCTAAACCTAGTCATCCTTCCTTTCATACCTGTTCTCTAGTTTTCCTGGAAATAATCTAAGCCAGGAATATGGTAGCATCCTAACTATTTTTCTTATACGTTCCCAGCTACCTCCCCTATATCCACTGCCAAGCTCTGTTAGTTTGCCCAACACCTAACCCATCTGCACTAAGTTGCACCTTTGGCCACCCTCAGTGAAAATATTATTCAGACAATATCTCTACATCTACATCTGGAAACTCCAGCTTCTCTTCCCAAAAGCTGCCAGATCTTTCTAGACTGCAGATCTGATCCTATTACTCCCTTGCTTAAAATATTTTTGACAGTTCACTCCCTATATTTCTCAAACTGGGGTTCACTAGGGAGTTAGTAGGGACAGTGTTCCAGGCATAAAAGCCATAGGATTTTCATTTTACTTGAGGGTAATTGAAATGCAAATATGCAAATCCAGTACGTGTGTGTGTGTGTGTGTGTGTGTGTGTGTTTGAGAGAGACAGACAGACAGACAGACAGACAGACAGACAGACAGACACAGAAACACTAGGAATTGAGCTCAGGGCCTCATGCATAATAGGCAAGTGTTCTATGGTGATTTACATTCCCAGTCCTCTTTTTGGATTAAGTAGGTAGCAAATCAACAAGATAAGCCAGAAGACAGGCAACTAGGCCAAACAGACTTACTTGCCTTTCCATAAAATACAAGCCTCTTTTAAGTAGTTCTCTCAGGCCTCCATTTTTTTCCTGCTACTTTGCTTTATCATCCTGTCTGATAAAAAGTCAACCATATTTCTCTTGGAGGAGGGGGTTAAACAGGTTCTTATCTAATCTAGGCTGGCTTAGAACTCTTAGCAGTCCTCTTGCCTCAGCCTCCTAATCACCATGCCAAACTCCCAATCAATTTTAAAATCTGAGCTCCCATGTTACCTCTCTGTGAGGCCTTCCAGCATCCCAGCCTGTCCACAATTCAGTGCCACTCCCATCAAGAAAGGCCAGCTGCCTCCTCTTTTATGCTCCCCGTCTGTACCTTGTACAAATGTCTTCCAGCTCCTGCTGCACTTTATTGCCCTTCAAGTTCAAGCACCCTGAATTTGTCACAGTTTTTTCATGTGAGAATGTGTGGTCTTTGGGAAGATAATGTATTTCTGGCATCCCATAGCATGTGACCCATCATAAACACTACCTATGGAAGTGTTGCTATTATTTCTATTCGTTTTTTGGAGTGGTAATATGAAATAACTTTGGGGTGCATGCTAATAATTATAGCACTTGGGAGGTAGAGGTAGGAGGATTGCTGTAAATTGTAGGCCATCCAGGACTACAAAGCAAGACTGTCTTAAACAAACAAACAAATAAGAACTACATATATACATGTATAAATATTTGTGCATGTGTATATATTTGTAATGCCATGTTGCTTGGATTTAATCCTAGCCTAGCACCTTACTAGCTATAAAGTACTGGGACATCAAAATATTTGTGCTCCATTTCCTTATTCCCATAGATATTCTAGAGGGTTGTTTAAAACAGTGCCTGACAATAGGAGAACCTTGATACATGTTTGCTGTTCCTAGCTAGAAATCTGCTCCCTGAAGCTACTTGAATAAATGATTGACCAATCCCTCTAGGAGGCCATAAACTCTTCCTCCTGCCACTCCCCTATGTTTATGCCTGGAGAGCTGCCCTCAGAGACGCCCGTTGTATGAGTTTCATTTCCAGGGTCTTCTTAGCAACTGTACAGAGCTAGCAATGGACATTTTTTTACACTAAGTTGCCTGATACTGTGAATCAATTTTTATCGTTTTGTGATTTATTTCTCCCACCTGTTGCTTATGCTCTTTTCCTTTTTTTTTTTCTTTTTGGTTTTTTGAGACAGGGTCTCTCTGTATTGTTTTGGAGGCTGTCCTGAAACTCACTCTGTAGACCAGCTGTCTTCGAACTCACAGAGATCTGCCTGCCTCTGCCTCTCTGCCCCTCTGCCCCTCTGCCTCTCTGCCTCTCTGCCTCCGGAGTGCTGATTTAAAGGTGTGTGCCACCAATGCCTGGCTATATGCTCTTTTCTTAAGCTCCAGTTTGGCCTTAAATTGTATCATTGGAAAAGCTCTCTCACCTAAGATGTCCTTT